GTTTGTGAATCTGCTGCCATTCTAGAGACGCGTGTGCGCGGCGATTTTGAGCGGCGATGACCACATGTCGAAATACACCCACCCTCCATCCGCGAAGCTCGCGCAAACTTTGAAGACGAACTCGCGCGGCGCCACGGCGACTCGCGCATGTGGAAAGCTACCCGCCCTCCAGACGTGGACTCGCTGTAAAATTGAAGACGCATGTGCACATCCTTCAGGCGATAGCCACCATTTTGAAATCCACCCGCCATACATCCGTGAAGCCCGTGCAGATTTCACACGAGTGTTCGCGGCGCTACGGCGATAGCCTCACTCAGAAAACCACCCGCCCTCCATCCGTGAAGCCGTTTGCTCTATAGAGTCGTAGCGGGTGAAGAAGTTTCAGGCGATACGCCGGGCTCGCCCTACCAACACGCCTCGGGTTGCGACAGGGTGGGATTATGCATATGAAGGCGGAATGGAGGGACGAGAAGGAGGAGGGGGCGCTGAGAGGCGGAGGAGGGGGAGCTGACATCCCTGCTTCTTGCCCTGGTGGCCGAGGCTTGCCGTGGCCCGATACGCCCCTTCGGTCCTCAGTCGTCGGTCCTCATGCTGCACGATGCCTGTACTCGCCAGGGTAGCTCGTGCTTGCTCCACGCCTGGTGCCTGAACGCCCCCACCACAGAGCCAAGCATCTGGAGGGACGCGTGGGCAGACGACCGTGAAGTAGATGGGGCACAAGGAAGAATAGTGGCAAGGGGTAGGAGAAGGGCAGGCCCGAACGGCATACCTTAAATGACAAGCCGAGCCACACTCGGACTTTCGACGGCTCGACTGATTTGAGTCGTCGCCCCCGTGGAGCTGCCGCCCCCTTGCCCGGACATGACCATCTACAGGAGAAATATTCAAGAATAGTAAGCAAATAATATGGGGACAATTTCTCGTGATACTCTTTTGACTATGATTGAGTCTTTTCTTTCAAAAGCCGCCTTTAGGAAGACTTGTATGACCTAATCCTGAGCTGCTTGTGGACGAGCTTGCGACCCAGGACGCCACGAACTACCTCTAGTACGGTAGGTTCGCCAATATGGAACGATTGAGCGATCGATAAACCGCTGATCGTTCCAGGCTGAACGGTCCACGCCGTGTCAGAGACCGACGCCGAGGTCGTCAATCCACCCGATCCTGCCGTGGGTACTAGTCTTTTTGTCCATCGACGACTCGTGTGTACAGTGCACAGCTCACCTCTCGGGGACGGCAAAGAGGGGGGTGATGACTAGGGGGGGGGGGGATATCATGGCAGGGGCCATGACATTTACCCAGATTTCATAGCGCGTCTTCTTGCTTCATTACGTCCCTGGCCCCCCCGCCGGGCCGCGCACATGCTGCCGGTCATGATTTGCACCCCCCCCTCTTGGACCCCCCCTCTTGGCCGCTCCCCAACCTTGTTGGAGCGGGACCTGAAGGGAGTACAACCACAGCTACGGTGCACGGGCGCCCCCTTCCGACTCTGGCGTTGCCGGAGCTTTCGGCACGATCGGCGCTCCGCCGGGCGCGCCATTCCCCCGCTCGGTCGCGCATGCGGGGGGAGACGGCCCGCAGCACGTGCCCCGCGACGGTAGACTCGGCATCGCTCGGGCGTGTGCATTCTTCCTTCCGCGAGGACCATCGAGGAGCGTCCTCGACCGTCGGGCCAACAGAACACGCACGAGACCGAAACATGCACAGGGAAGGGACATCCGAGCGATGGCGAGTAGAGCAGCGACATCGGTACCCTTTTCGTCGCCTGAGTTTTTCCGGGGCGTGGGCAGCGAGCGGTTCTCCGATGCTGCCTCGGACGTCGGGGGGGCTTCCCTGGCGCTAGGGCGGAGGTCAGCGGTTTCCTCCCTGGACGGCCACAAAGCCAGGCTGTAGGTTGACGCATGCAGTTCATTTGTCTGCGCTCATCGCACTGAGCCCGCTTGACATGCTCTGGCGATTTGGATGTTGCACACATGGATGTTTCACACAGTCGGAAACGGAGGCGTCGTTCGCGACAGCGTCGGCCTGCCCCGTATAGTTGGTGGTGGCACGTCCTGGTGAGGATCGACAGCCACACGCCGAAACGCTGGGGACGGACAGGGCCAGGGGTGCCCGAGAAAGTGGGTATACTCAGTCTGTTCAGTCCTAGACCAAATGGTGCGCGACTAGGGCTTCAATGCGGGTGCACATTATTTCAGGCATCTTCCGGTGATCTTGAAACAAGTGGCACGTGTGCCATGGCTCTTGCACAAAAGGGAAGGGGGAGGAGGAGGAGGTGGAGGAGGAGGAGGGGGGAAGAGGGGACAAGACATCGCCCATCGGGGCCCAGCAAAGGAGCCCAAATCCCAGGTGGGGAGAGAGGGGGGGGAGGTGGCGTGCGTCGCGACGCGGAATAAAGTGCTCGGAACGGAGGGGGCACGGGGCGGAGGTCCCACTGGGGCGCTGGGGGCGCGGAGAGGACGGGGGGGGAGGTGGTGTGCGTCGCGACGCGGAATAAAATGGTCGGGCCGGAGGGGCATTGGGCGGGGCTTGGGGCAGAGGGCCACGGGGCGGGGGTCCAACTGGGGCGCTGGGGACGGGGGGGGAGGTGGTGTGCGTCGCGACGCGGAATAAAATTGTCGGGGCGGAGGGGGCACGAGGCTGAGCTCCCACTGGGGCGCTGGGGACGCGGGGAGGGAGGTGGGGGAGGTGGTGTGCGTCGCGACGCGGAATAAAGCGTTCGTGGCGGAGGGGGCAGTGGGCGGGGCTCCCGCTGGGGCGCTGGGGACGCGGGGGGGCTCGGGGCAGAGAGCCACGGCGCAGGGGGTCCCACTCTGGCGCTGGGGACGCGGGGGGGGGGTGGGGGGGGTGCGACGCGGAATAAAGCGTTCGTGGCGGAGGGGGCAGCGGGCGGGCCCCCCGCTGGCCCGCTGGGGGGCGCTGGGGACGCGGGGAGCTCGGGGCAGAGAGCCACGGCGCGGGGGTCCTACTCTGGCGCTGGGGACGCGGGAGGAGAGGGGGGTGTGCGACGCGGAATAAAGCGTTCGTGGCAGAGGGGGCAATGGGTGGGGCCCCCGCTGGGGCGCTGGGGACGCGGGGGAGCTCGGGGCAGAGAGCCACGGCGCGGGGGTCCCACTCTGGCGCTGGGGGCGCGGAGTGGGGGTGCGACGCGGAATAACGCGTTCGTGGCGGAGGGGGGCAGTGGGCGGGCCCCCCGCTGGGGCGCTGGGGACGCGGGGATGCTCGGGGCAAAGAACCACGGCGCGGGGGTCCCACTTTGGCGCTGGTGACGCGGGAGGGTGGGGTGTGCGACGCGGAATAAAGTGGTCGGAGCTCTCGACACCCTGTGCAAGAGGATATGCTTGACGCTTCGCGTATCCCCACCAGCTGTTTCAGCCAGCTGCCCCCCGGCGGTAGGTTCTGATCCCGCGCTCGGTCGCTGTGTAATTAGGCTCGCGCGTAGCCCGCTTGACCTTTCGGACGCCCCATGCGCTCTCGCTGGCGGCCGCGACTACGTAAAACAACAAAAAACGTATCCCCACCAGCACCCATCCAGAAACGATGCTCATGAGATCTGAACGGGAAAGAAAGAAATCGATACGCATAGTCAAACGACGAGGGGGGGCCTGCCTGGACGGCGCGCTGGGGCCATCTCCGGGCACGCGGTTGGGGTGGGGTCGAAGAGGACGAGAAAGAGGAGGGGGAGGAGGAGGAGGAGGAGGAGGAGGAGGAGGAGGAGGAGGAGGAGGAGGAGGAGGAGGAGGAGGAGGAGGAGGAGAAGGAGGAGGAGGAGGAGGAAGAGGAGGAGGAGGAGGGGGAGGACACAGCAGGGGCAATACGATGAGGGAAAGGAGGACGCGGATGAGGATGACGATGCTTAAAACAGTGAGGAGGATGAGGTGTAGGAGGAGGAGGAGGAGGAGGAGGAACATGAGGAGGAGGAAGAGGGGGAGGAGGAGGAAGGGGAGGGGGAGGCGGAGGAGGAGGAGGAGGAGGCCGACGAGGACGAGGACGAGGACTAGGACGAGGACGACGGGGAGGATGCGCACGAGGAGGAAGAGGATGAGGAGGTGGAGGTGGAGAAGGAGGAGGAGGACGAGGAGGAGGAGGAGGAAGAGGAAGAGGGGGAGGAGGAGGAAGAAGAGGAGGAGGAGGAGGAGGAGGAGGAGGAGGAACAATACGAGGACGAGGACGAGGACGAAGGATATGGACGGGAACGAGAGGTCGAGGGGGAGGAGGACAAACATGAGGAATACGAGGCAGAGGATAAAGACGAGGAGGTCGACGAGGATGAGGACGAGGATGGGGACGAGGGCGAGGACGAGAAGGACGACCAGGAGGATGACGAGGACGTGACGGCGTCTTGCGTGCCTCGGGTGAGTTGTTTGGGCTTGCTGGGGTGTCGCTTAGGTGGCCTCTCGAGTGCCTCTCGGGTGCCTTTTGGAGGTTTGTTGGGGCCTCCTGGGGCGCTCTTGGGCTCTTTGGGTCGCTCGTGGGAACCTCTTTGGGGCCTCTTAGGGGCCGTGGAGGGCCTCTTGGGGTCGTCCTGGAGGCGGTCGGTCAAAAGAGGGCGGTCCTCGATGTGCGTCCCCCCCTCGGGGGCCACGATCCTCGTGAGGGGGGTCGAAAGTTGGTCCTCCCAATGGCTGAAAAATGGGGCGTCCGACGTGTCGAGAAACCCCCCAAAAAACCTTCAGGAGTGGAGGGGGAGGGTTCCCTTCCCCGATGTGAAGAGGGGTTGTGGAACAGGAAACAAAACATACTTAGACCACCTGTCGCCCAGAGGGCTGGTGGGATTACGCAAAGCTCTAGTGATCAGCCGAACGAGTCGCCAGAGTTCGACTTCGGCTTGGGGTCTCACCATCAATCAACGCGACGTTGTCGTTTTATGACAAGCCTTCTTCGGTGTTCGGCCCCATCAGTCAGAGAAGTAGCAATGGTCGCCTCCGTGTACGAGTCCGCTATTAGTGTGGCCCCGACGGCATTGGAGGCCAGGATGGGCCTCTCGAGCGAGGTGTCCCACGAACGCCTACCAGCAGGGGTCAGGTGGCTCACGCCCCTGGGCCGCCGTCAGCATTCGTTCGAGGAAGGAAGGGGACCACGCAGCTGATGGCCACCAATGCGTCACGAAGGAGGGCGCAGTTGTTTGCACCCTTCTTCGACGGACAAGAAGCAAGGCGGTTCAACTGTCCGCGCTCGTCGTAGTGAGCCCGCTTGACATGTTCTGGCGATTTGGATGCTGCACGCAGCGATGTTTCACACGGTCGGAACTGCAACGTCGTCCTTGGCGGCGCCGGCCTGCCCCGTGCAGTTGGTTGTGGCACGTCCTGGCCAGGATCGACAGCCACACGCCGAGACGCTGGGGACGGACAGGACCACGGGCGCCCGAGAACGTGAGCAGACTCAGTCCTAGACCAAAGGATGCGCGACGCGACGACGGCTTCAACGCGGGTGCACATCATGTCATGTATCTTCCAGTGGCGTGGAGATGTTAGACAAATTCTTTACGCTTCGCGTATCCCCACCAGCCCATCTCACAACAGCAACTCTTGCGAAGCATGCCGACAGTCGTGTTTTTCAGGCGTGTGTCCGCTTGGCCCCGCATATCTCCCCTGTTACTCCTTCCTCCCGCCTCCTTGTACATCCTCCTTGTGGGGGGAGCGGGAGAAGGACGAGGCGGAGGAGGAGGGAGAGAAAGCGCTCCTCGTGGTTTGAGTCGTTTGGGGTTTCTCGTCCTGGTGTGAGTCGTTCGGGCCCTTCTTCCTGGTGTGAGTCGTTCGGGCTCTTCGTGGTGTGAGTCGTTCGGGCTCTTCGTCCTGGTGTGAGTCGTTCGGGCTTCTCGTGGTGTGAGTTGTTCGGGCCCCTCGTCCTGGTGTGAGTCGTTCGGGCCCCTCCTCCTGGTGTGACTCGTTCGGGCTCCTCGTGGTGTGAGTCGTTCGGGGCCCTCGTCGTGGTGTGAGTCGTTCGGGCTCCTCGTGGTGTGAGTCGTTCGGGCGCCTCGTCCTGGTGTGAGTCGTTCGGGCCCCTCCTTCTGGTGTGAGTCGTTCGGGCTCTTCGTGGTGTGAGTCGTTCGGGCCCCTCGTCCTGGTGTGAGTCGTTCGGGCTCCTCGTGGCGTGAGGCGTTCGGGCACCTCGTCCCCTTTTGGGGCGTCTTGGGGGCCTCTTGGCGGCCCCAGGGGCTTCTAGGAGCGTCTTGGGTGCCTTGGGGGAGCCTCTTCAGGCCTCTTGGGAGCCTCTTGGAGGCCGTTTGGAACGTCTTGGGGGCCTCTTGGCGGCCCCACGGGCTTCCAGGAGCGTCTTGGGTGCCTTGGGGGAGGGAGCCTCTTGGGGCCTCTTGGGGGCCTCTTGGGGGCATATTGGGGGCCTCTTGGAGGCCTCTTGGGGGCCTCCTGGGGGCCTCTTGGGGCCATCTTGGGGCCTCTCGGTGCCTCCTGGGCGCTTCTGGGGGCCATCTTGGAGGAAATCGATCAAAGAAGAGGGGAGCTTTAATTAGCGCTGCCCCCTCAGAAGGGCAAAATGGGGCCAACACCATAGTAAAATCAATGATTTTGGCTTGAAAGAAGAGGGGAGCTTTAATTAGCGCTGCCCCCTCGGAAGGCCAAAATGGGGCCAAAACCGTAGTAAAATCAATGATTTTGGCTTCAAAGAAGACGAGAGGGTTTTTTCTGCCTCCCCCCGTCGGGGCCAGAATCCTCGTGAGGGGTGTCGTTTTTTAGCCCTCCCAGGAGTCAAAAACGACCCCTCTGACCACCCGCGGAACGCCCTCTCCAGGCCCAGGGGGAGGGGGTAGGGGGAGGGGTAAACCCCTCCCCGAAGGGGAAGAAGGGGGTTGAGAACAGAGCGGGCTCTCTAAACCACTCACGCCCAAAGGGCTGGTGGGATTTTTGGGTCGGCCCCTGAGGGACGTCTGCGGTGGCCCGCCTGCAGAAGTCTAGGCCTTCAGTTGTGGTCGGATCAGATGGGGTCGGGGCATCGCGCCGCATCGGCGATGCATCGGCGAAACGGCTCGATGTGGGGGCTGATTTTCTCCACGCCGGCGGCGCCGATGCATCGCCGACGTTGCCGATGCATCGCCAATGCATCGGCGTTGCGGCGCGATCCTTTGGCCCCATCAGTTCCGACCACATTTGGGAGGCGTGAAACGAGAGAAGAGAGAAAAAGAGGGAGAACGAAGAAGAGAGAGAGAGAGAGAGAGAGAGAGAGAGAGAGAAAAAAAAAAAGAGAGAAACAAAGCGAAAGAGAAAAAGAGAGAGAAAGAGAGGGCGGGAGCGGGAACCGACGGGTGCGATCACAGTGAGGCTCTCCAGAAGGGTGGTAGTGAGGCTCTCGAGGCGTGCAGGGCAGGGTGACATCTGCCGCCGCACGACGACGACGACTACGACTACGACGACGTTGACGACGACGACGATTACGACGACGGTGACGTCGACGGCGACGGCGACGGCGGCGGCGGCGACGGCGGCGGCGGCGGCGGTTGGCCACAGGTGGAACGCCAAGTCGGAGCGGCCGGAGGCGCGACTGCGCGTGCTCTTCGCGGACTCGAACGCCGGTTGGGCGGTGGTGAACAAGCCCCCGGGCATGCACTGCCGGCCCTGCGAGGACATCCGTTGGCGGCACGCACGAGGGGCTGGTCCGTGGCGACCGAAATTGGCGCGGAACGCAAGGGTACGAAGATTGACGTCAGCCCTGGCCCGCTTTGAACAGGGCTCGTCGCTGTTATCACTTGCCGCGGGCGTCGTCCACTTGGGGCACAGCCTTGCCTGCCCAGCAGCGGCCGCTGCCGGTTGTGCACGACATGCGTCGTTGGGCATGGTGGCCACGTGTGCCCGTGCCGACTACGGGCTCCCAGTACGAGGGGCTGGCGCGAGGCGGGTGGCATCTTAGCAGCAGCGACCGGGGGTTTCGGAGAAGGCTCCTCCGAGGCGCGGAGGGCTCCGAAGGAGCCCCCTTGCCTTCCAAGATGCCCCCGGGCCGACTCCCTGGGCCGCGCTCTGTCAAATCCCATTGCAAGCGCTATGCGCGAGAAGGCAGGGGTGCCTTTTGGCCAGGACGTCTCGGGCCAGCCTGGTGCGTCGGACGTCTTGCCCGAGCCGTGGCCCGGACCAGAAGCAAACAGCAATCGGCGGAACGCTTGGGGTGGATGTTCGGGGGTGGACAGACCTCCTACCCTGACGCGTCGATTAAGGAATTGGCCGTTTTCGGTTCGCGAGAGGGCGTCGCGGCCGTCACTTTTGCGGTCTATGTCCGTCGGTTTCGGTCCCAGGCCGTTTTCACTAAGGGGAGGTTTACTAAAGGGAGGTTTGTCCACCGCCGAGATGTGACAGGCCTGGTGGCGCGCGGATTTTCTCAGAAGGCGGCGTGGCTTCCCAGAAGCTCTTTGGCCTTCTGAAGGCCCTCTGTGGTTCTGGGAAAGGGCTTCGGAAGACGCTCAGAAGGCTGGAGCTGCCTTCTCGGCCTCCTGCGAAGACATTCCTTCTCTGCCTTCTCCCACGGGCGCGCCGCCCGAGCAGGTTGGGATGCACCAGACCTCTCCAGACCCCGGTGGTTGTCTAACCCCAGACGCGCATCGTTACCCATCGTCGTTGAAAGTAGGTATTTGGGATTCCCGGTGCCCACTGTACTCTAGCCGCCTTCCTAATTCAAGAGTCGAGTGGTTTTCCTTCTTCCTCCTCTACAGGAGGTGGGCGGAAACCCAATCTGCTTACGATGCTTTTCTACTTCATAGTTCTACCTAATTCTTCCAACCGATGTATATCTTCCTGAGGCTTTTCGGCCGTCCCAGAGCCCGATGACCTGGCGGGGCCTGGAGGAAGATAACTCCGTTCCGTAGTGTCCCAGAACGCTCTCGGAGCGTTCCAGAACGCTTTGGGAAGGCGGCGGCGCCCGATGCATCCTCCACAGCAGCGGGGCCTCAGAGATCCTCGATGTACCCTCGTCCGAATTATCCTCGCCTTGGCCTTGTCGTGAGCATCGCAGATGCTAGAAACGAACACTTCGTGTCGGAGATCTGGGCCTCCAGGACAGCAAGAGCCAGCTGACCTTCGAGGCCTACCTGCCCGCGCTGCTGGAGCCCCCGCGCTGCGGCACGCGCAGCAGCCGCCCGCGGGTCTGCCACCGCCTCGACTTCCGCGTCGGCGGGCCCGTGGCGGTCGCCACCACGGAGGAGGCCATGCGCAGCATCAAGGACCGAGGCGATCAAGAGCAGCACCAGCCCAGGAGGAGGAGGAGGAGGAGGAGGAGGAGGAGGAGGAGGAGGAAGAGGAGGAGATCCCCGACAGTCGTTTTTTTCAACCGGTGGCATCTCTTCGATGCTTTGGCTTGCGCCACGCCGCCGACACCTGGGAGGCCCTTTGGCCGTCTGAGGGCCATCTTGGCCCGTCTGACGCCGTCGGAAGCCGTCTTGGGAGCCTTTCTGGGCCGACTTGGGGCCCTCTTGAAGCGCTGCAAGGCCGTCTTGAATGCCATCTTGGGCGATTTGGATGTGTCTTGGGCCGTCTTGAGGCCCTCTTGGGCCCGTCCTGAGAGCCTCCTGGGCCGTCAGGGGACCATCTCGGATGCCTTTTGGGCGTTTTCGGTCCCTGTCGCGGAGTTTCCGTGCACTGCTGGGTTTCCTGGGCCGTTTGGCATGGAGAAGCCAGGCTTGCACAGTCAACCCACATAGCAAAGAGGAGCAAGTTTCCAAGTTTACCCTTGCATCCTTCCCTTCGGCCCATCTTTGGCCGCTTTCGCTGGCCGCGCCCCGCTGGCGAAGGTCGGCACGGCCTTAAAGGCCCGAGCGCACGGAGGAAGTTCCGCGTGTTAAAGCAGAGCTGACGACCAAGTCGTATTCATTGTCGTCGAGAGTCCGTTTGTTGATTTATGTAACTACGCCTCGCGTGCTCTACACTCTACAAGATAGATCGACGCGGGCGTCGGCGGGCGGCGGGCATCTGTCTCGGGGCAGGCAGGGCCGGCTACGATCCGATTCGACGCGGTTCGATTCGCTGGCTGGGGCCGGGATTCCAATTCGATGCGATCTGGGTCTATTCACCGGCGTCGGGCGCGGGGCGCGGCGATTCGATGCCGATCCGAGTCGGGGCGCTTCGCCGGCGATTCGATCCGTTCTCGACCCGCGCCGATGTCGCGACCCGACCCGGCGCGGACCTGCCCGGGGGGCAAGCATTTCACACGGGCCAGCCAGGCGATGGATGGGGCATGCTGCGCATAGCGGGAAGGGCGCGCCGAAGGGGCGCGACGAGGCGCGCCGCGCCGCCAGGCAGCATCTCGAACGAGGGGGAACGACGGGACGCCAGAGGGTTGTAGCCTCCGCGTTGGAGCAGTGGGGCAACAGGCCCCAGCCCCCGCAACTACGGATTTTGCAGGTCAGCGTCTTGCATGCATGGGGAATCTGCGAAGGCGCGGGCGCCCTGTCTGCGAGGGCAATGCCAGCTGCCGCGGGGGGGGTGCCCGCGCGCGCGGCGACGTCCCAGGCCCGCTCGACGCGGCCGCGCCCGCGCGGCGCGCCGCGCCGCGGCCGCGGCGCACAGGTTGAGGCGACGGCGGCGCTGTCCCTCGCACGGCAGCGCCGCTGGCCCAGCCGAGGGCGCCCGCCCCCGCTTCCGTCGCCCCCTCGCAACCCGCCGAAGGAAAAATATTAGATCGGGAGCGTTTAACATGAGGCAGCTGTTCCAAAATACAGTTTTTTTTGCGTTTATATTAACGCAACTTTCTGTTGTCACGGAGAAGTTTAGATCGATTTTATGAAGAGTTCACATGTGGTTTTGGCTTGGCGCCTAAACTCTGAAACCAGGGTGGATGTAAACTTTTCGATGCGCCGTCCCGGGCCCCGGGGGCCGCCCTGGGCTCTTGCCGGCGCCGCTGCGGGCCGACGCGCCCCTTGGTTTTTGCCCTGGCACGAGCGCGCGAACATCCGCAATGACTTTGGGCATTGACCGTGCGCCAACACAAGGTCGCGCCAAATTCAAACTTCATTAGCATAGCAGCAGCGCGCCGCTCGCAATTGATTGCGCGGCGTTGTCTTTGGCTGACCGTCTAGCTGTTTCCGCTCGCAGTTCGCGCGTCGTTTGACGGGCGGTCCTATTCGTTTGAAGTTCCTCGCGTGGGGGGCGGGGGTAGTTTTTCGTGCGGTCGGCGTTGTTCAGGAGACTTACGCGGCGCATTCTCATGAAGCGCGAGACTAGGTCCGCGTCGGCGGGGGCCTGGATCTTCGCGCTCGACGCGCGGATGGTAAGGGCCGGAGCGCGCAATATGGCGGCGCGCGCCGTGCGACGAGGAGGTTTGGGGGCATGCAGGGAAGGGAACTGGGAGGAGGCATTGGACCAAGGAAAGGCGGCGGAGGCATAGGTGGGCGAGGGCGAAATGGCGGGGGGATGGAGAGGGCGGGGCGCGAAGACACGCAAGGGAAAGGTTAGAGGAAAGGGGCCCAGAGGGCGATGTCCATGAGTCCTCGCGGATGCGTTTGTACCCATCGGGGCCCCCGTCGTTGTTTCCTTCGACCGCGCCTGTTCCCCCCCACCCTTGCGCGGCGGCGAAGTTCGCTCCGGCGGCGTCCCCGCCTCAGCTTCTGATCTCGGCACGAACGGAACGGGTACGGAAAGAATTGGTATGATGCCCAACAGCAGTTCCTGTTCATTTTGAACAGGAGTCGCTGTCCACGCCGCCGCGGCCTGTGTCCATTCGAGACAGAAGGCCGCCTGCCCAACCGCGACCACTGTTGGTTTGGGACAACATCTGTTGTTGGGCATTGTATTCGACTGCGTCGCGGGGCGTACGTCCAGATCGCGTGGGGCATCGGCGCGTGAATAGGGGTGCCTGGGAGCTGTCTAGGCGATTTTGTTGACACATTTTGAAGGCTTTTTCGTTGCCCTCGAGAGTCAGGCGATCGCGAACGTGATCATGGGGGCGCGGGTTAGCGACGGGTCCCGCTTCCCTTGGAAACCGCGGATTTCCGCCGCCGAGCGAGGTTGCATTGGCCGCATTTTTGGGGAGGCGTTTCCCCCGATCCATGGGTTCGGCGACCGCGCGCCAACTCCATGGATCGCTAATCCATTTTTGCGCGCCCCCGATTGCCGGGGCCCTCTAAAAAGCTCCGGGGCGTCTTCGATTGTCTCGTCGGGCGCGCGTGGGCCACCTGGCGCTTTCGGATGTCGTTTCGGGGGCGTGCCGGGGCCGTCTTGCAGGGCGGGGGCCCTGGGGCCGCGCTTGGCATCGCCCGGACGTGTACATTTGTCCTTCGGCGAGGACCATCGAGGAGCATCGTGTATCATTTAGCGAAAAAACCACGCACGAAACCCAACAAAACACAGGAAATGGACGTCCGAGCGATGGCGAGTGCGTTGGAACCTTGGCGGGCCGTTTTAGGCCCTTCCCCTTCCTGGGCTTTTTTTATCTTTCCTGCAGGGTCTCTTGGGGCGATCTCGGGGGCCTCTCCGGGCCGTCGTGGATGCGGCCAGGACGAGCCAGGCGCGCGTGCAGCACCAGTGGCGCGCGTGCCATGGCTCTTATGCAGAAGCGAAGGAGGGGGGGGGGGGGAGCGGAAGGGGGCGCGCTGGCTGGTGGATGGGGCGATGGAAAGGGGCCGCTCGGGGTGGGGGGGCGGCGCCGCGTCGAAATGAAAAGGGCTGGGGCGGGGGGGGCGCGGTGGCGCGTCGTCGTCGTCGTCGTCGTCGTCGGCGGCGGCGGCGGCGGCGGCGGCGGCGGCTGCCTTCGCCTCGCGACTCTGGTCAGAGCGCACCCCAGGAGAGGTCCGGGGCGCAGCGGTATCGGTACCTTTTGGTTTCCCCAGTTTGCTTCCGGAGGGACAAGCACACAGTTGCTCGTCGATTCCCCAGGACCTATTGGGAAATATGGGAATGAGGGGGGAAGACAAAAACCAGACAAGACAACTCTCTCTCTCTCTCTCTCTCTTTCTATATCTATATCTATATATATATATATATATATATATATTCATTTATATATGTATATATATGGGGGAATCCTGAAAACTATGAACAAATATTTGAAAATACCGGATACGATTGGAACATGTGGGAGTTGTATCATTTTTGTTGTGCCCCTGGGCCCCTTTATCGCTGCTCGAGAGGAGTCCTTCAGGAGCCGCCTGGTGCGCAAGGAGTACCGCGCCATCGTCTGCGGCGCGCTCGGGGAGCCTGGCACACGTCTGAGCGTCGACGAGCCGCTGGACGGCGACGAGGCGCACACGGGCGTGGAGGTGGTCCGCACGGCGCCGTGCCCGCACTATCCGAAGGAGAATAGCGGCACAAGCGTGAGGTTAGTAACACGGAGGGCTGGAATCCCTGTCAACAGGATGGTTAAAGTAATTACGGACATGTCTCGCTCGCGTGGGCCTGCAACAGACAGCACCACAGGACCCCGTGCCCCGACCACAAACGACACGATCTCACAGTAGCTCCAAGCTCGCGCGCTATCCTTTTTCAAGCGTGGCGCTGCCCGAAGGAAGAAGCAGTACTGTTGGAAGCCCAGAGCATGCAACACAACCGGGCCCGCAGGTGTGTGTTTAAGCCTCCCGTCGCGTGCCCCGCTGCGGGGCCAGCCGCGCCAAACGCTCGGGGAGCGTTCTGACCCCTGAGCCGCCCGCCCCGTTCTTCTCCCGTTTTAGCCAAAGGCGTTTATGGACACATGGGGTGCCGTGGGGTCACAGACACTTCCAGGCTGGATGCGTCCATGGACAACGTGGCCGTTGCGTTCGGCGCTGTGCAAGGTCGGAGAAAGGGTAGATCCGTCAATTGTCATCATGTTCCAACCTACTTTAGCCTTGGTCACCAGAAAGAACAGTTGACGCTTCGCGAATCCCCACCAGCCCATCCAGAAACGATGCCCAGAGGAGTTGCCTCGATCAGGGAAGTGGGCAGCACACAGAGGAAGCCATTCTGAAACATCTTGGGATATCTTGAGCCATCTTGGAGGTCATCTTAGGCTCTCCCAGGCGCTCTTGGAGTCATCATAATCAGTGCCCCCCCCAAGAGGCCAACATGTGGCTAAAACCTTTTTGTAAAATCAATGATTTGGCATTCTCGCCGAGGCCTGTTGGAGCATCTTGGGTGCCTCTGGGTGGACTCTTGGAACCTCTTGGCTTCCTGGCCACCTCTTAGGGCCCTCTTGGGGCACCCTTGGGAGCCTTGGATGCCATCTTTGGGCCATCTAGGGTGAGATCGATCACAGGAGGGGGGGGGTCTAATTAGCGTCCCCTCCCCAGGAGGCCTAAATGGGGCCAAAACCATAGTAAAACCAATAAGTTTGGCTTCCTCGCCGAGGCCGTTTTGGACGCTCCGACGACTCGCGGAACCCCCTGTCCAGGTCCAGAGGAGTGGGTAGGGGGAGGGGTAAACCCCTCCCCAAAAGGGAAGAAGGAGGGGTGGAAGAGGAAACTCTCTAAACCACCTACGCCCAAAGGGCTGGTGGGATTTCGCGCGCCAGGAACATGCCCAAACTTGACGGTTGTCACGTGCCGGGCCGTGAGAGGTGATACAGGTTCGACCGTGCCTCGGTGCTTTCCTGGGTGCTCGAAGTCATTTCTGTGCTGTGGCCCTGAAGTGCGATGATTCGAGTAGGGGATCGACTGCAGAATTGATTTACCGCAAAATTGGTTTTCTCTTTGAATCTGATAAAATTTGCAGAAACTTCAGTAGAATGCTGAACATTCTAGGTCTTCGTCCTAGATTCGATGGAGAATCAATTTTGGGGAAAATCAATTCTGTTTTCTCGATCCCCTACTCGAATGATGAGGATTGTCGATTCCTGCTCTGGAGAGCAGGCCCCACACGGTGCGCCACCGGATTCTAGAGAGAGGGGGGCTGGGCGCCGGCCCAGCCCCGTGTGCCGGGGGCGGAAAAGAGGGGGGGGAGGACTACAGGGGGGGGGGGGACATCATGGCTCAGGAGGAGAAAACACACACAGACACAATCGATCGTCGACTCCAGAGAAAATATGGGAGACTATGGGAATTGGGCGGGAAGACAAAATCCCAGAAACTATGGGGAAAGATAGGGAATCTTCTGATTTGCGTGTATTTGTTTGTGTGTCCCAGGGCCCCTTCAATGGCGGGGGCCATGGTATTTCCCCAGATCTCGTGGCGCCTCTTCTTATTTCATCACGTCCCTGGCCCCCCCGTTGGGCCGCGCGCAAGCCGCCGGTCATGAGTTGCACCCCCCCCTCTTGGACACCCCCCTCTTGGCCGCTCCCGAGGTGTGCCGGGAGCCCCCTCCCCGGGAGCCCCCCAAGGAGAAGGGGGGGGTGGCAGCGCCGACCCGCACAGGAAGTCCGCGCGGCCCCCCGACCGTGTGTCGAGGTTTGTCTTTCCCATGGGCGTTGTGAGCTTCACCGAGAGTTCCTGTTGGGGACGTTTATCGCACGAGAGAGAGCGCTACTACCCTCGTCAAACTTAACCTCAACAGTTGCTGGCACGTCATTTCGATTCCGGCGCGCCCCTCAATGTCGACACGCCGCCCCTTCAATGTCGGGGCCAGGGCAAAGATAGTCTGACCGAAGTTGACTCGAAAGCTTGACGTCGACCGACATTGGAGGGGCGGCGCATGCAAGTACCCCGCACTCATCGATACTCGGCCCCAGTTCTTCCGACAAGCAGTTCAACCACGTCAGACATTTTTGAGGTTAATTTGGACGAGGCTTGTAGGAGCACAGACGTTCGACGCTCCGCGCGGCTTTCGTGAATCGGCGCATGGGCCCCCCCTGGCGGCGCCTTCCGCGCCGCCCCTGGCGCGCTCCGCGGGCCAGGCAGGGGGGGTGCAGCTCAGGTCCAAGAATACAGTCGGGGCCTTGACCTAAGGAACCCCAAATAAGAAACGAGGCCCCTTTTTTCCATAAGGTAACCTTCGATTTCCTATCGAAAACATAAGGAAAACCTGAGGCAAGCTGTGAAACACTTAACCAACACCGAGCCCCTCCCCAACGAAAAGGGTTCCTTCTTCAGGGCCCCGGCTGTAGGGGAACAACAAGTGGCATAAACATAAAAACTCTGAGGTCCGCGCGGATCTCTCGGATCGGCGGTGGCACCCCCTTCCCTGGCGCGCGGAGCGCGCCAGGGGCGGCGCCGGAGGCGCCGCCGGGGGGCCCCAGCGCCGATCCGAGAAATCCGCGCGGACCTCCGAGTTTTTTTTTATTATTTGTTTTTTTTTTTGTGTGTGTGTGTGTGTCACTTTTTGTTCCCCTAAAGAAATCTGCGCGGAGCGACACAGGTTTATGTTTATTATGTTTTTTCGACGTATGGAAGCTTAGAAATTCCCCGGGAGTTTGTGTTGGGGCGGGCGTTGAACGGCCATCAGCGGCGAATTTTTTGGAGGGGTGCATGTAATCTGGGGGGGGGCGATAGCCCAGGGGAGGGGTCCTGTAGCTCAGGGGGAGAGGGTACTTGTAGTCTGGGGGGCACCTGCAGTCCGGGGGCACAGAATTATTTCGGACACAGAGTAGGGAGTGACTGGTGGACGGCTGGTGCGGGGCGTGTGCCGCTTCTTGCCGCCAGCCAGTCGCCGCCGCTATGTGCCGCCAGGCCGCCAGCATTTTGATTGAAGCAGTCGCCCGTGAGATCGAGCGTGATCTCATGCTTGTGCCGCCTGTTCTTCCTCTGGCCATGGCTCCTTGTCTGAGCTCCGGCTGTGGCCTCTCACGGGCAGACACCAGCAGCTGCGGCGGCACTGCGCGCTGTCGCTCGGGGCCCCCATCGTGAACGAGGAGCGGGGCCTCTTCGCGTCCGCGGGCGATGCCTGGGAGAGACGGCACCAGCGACCCATGGTCAGTATCGTTGATTTACGTAACCGCTCCCCATCCCCATCCCGATCCCCACCATCTCACCAACCCAGTTGGGGATATGCCCCTCGAAACTCAGAGGGAATATCTCAAATCCCCGTCTACCACAGCAGGGGGTTACATCGGCCTGTGAGGCCGAGGCCACGCCAGTGGGGATAGGGATCGATTTGACGATACTCATATGGTGAGCGCCGCGGAGCTCGACTCGGCCGGGCTGGCGGAGGAGTCGAGGGTTACCCAGACGGGTCCCAGCAGCGGTCATGGGCAACGCTAGGGGGGGATTTGCTCGGGGGAGCGGCAATGCCCCCCAGTCGACCATTGATCGCAGATCGGGGCCTGATAGCCCACGTTCTGTTTCGCTATCGGGGCCTATCGCGCCATCCGCCTGCATCGACCACAGAGTCTCCCCTTTCGCCGGAGTGACCTTTGGTGCGGGCACAGATGGGTCCCCAGATGGCTGAAGACGAAGCAGTAGCAGCGGCTTGCGCGCCCAGGTTTTGGTCCCTCCGCGGCCCCCAAGAAGTCGCGCACCAGAGGTCACTCTTACCCAGGGTCACTCTTGCGTGTAGCCGACGTAGGTGGGACGGGAAGGGCGGGAAGCTGTGAGCGACAGCGCTGCGGGAACTCTAAGACGGCAGCACTCCTCCGCGCGGCACCGCGCCGCGCCGGGCGCCGGAGGGCGCTCGCCGCGATGCCCCCTCCGGTCACCCGCGGCGGCGGGAGCCTCTTCCTGCAGGCCCCGTGGGAGGGCGGTCGGAGCATCGGGTCGGACGGAAGCGTTGCATGTTCGCTGAAGGAAAGAACTGCCGAATCATAGTGTCGGCGTTCCCCGCGCGGGTTTCTCGGATCGGCAGTGGAGACCCCCTGGCGGCGCCTCCAGCGCCGCCCCCTGCGCGCTCGGGCCCAGTGCCGATCAGAAGGCATCTGCGCGCATCTCAGAAAGTCCGTGTTTATGTCGTTGTTTCTTCCCCTGCGTTTTGGAGACCTTCGCGGGGCCCACCTATCAGATCTTTTCGAAGATATCTCGAACCACTATAGTTCGACGGCTCAGACTTGATTCAAGTTCGACCCAAGTCGACAGACGTTCGGCACAGCACCGACGCATGAGTGGATCGAGGGGCTCCAGGAAGGCCCCCAGAACGAACATCTGAAAGGTCGAGCGAGGACGCGGGGTATGAGGAAACGAGCCGAAGGAGAAGAATCGGCATAAACAGAACCTTCCGGCGGTTCGCGCGGATCTCTTGGATCCGCTCTCGGCCCCCCTCCGCGCTGGGCCCCCCCTTGCGGCGCCTGCGGCGCCGCCACTGGCGCGCGGAGCGCGCAGGGAAGGGGGTCCAGCGCAGATCCAAAAAATCTGCGCGGAGCGCCAAAAGTTTATGTTGGATATGTATAGTTGTATGAATATTATCTAGATTTTCCTGGTTATTCTTCTTTTCTTCTTCGAATGCGGCCTCCCAGATGTCATTATTTCCCCGTCCTCTGTAACGCCGTTTCCTGGCTCCGTCTAGTGCGCGCACATGCCCAAGGGCCGTGCTGCGCTAACCCCCCGGGTTCATGCCCTGCCCCCTCTGGCACTCCCTGCTTCATGGCAGACCTGGATCCTTATGCGTACCCCTCTTGACGATCGTAGGCTTGGCAGTGCGCAGTGCAGTGACCATACGACGCACGACGGGTTCGCGCGCCACTACGTTGCGGGGTGCCCCGAGCGCAGTCCGCACTCCAATCACACAACAGAAGAAGACCCAATTGCGCTGATGAAGATGAGCGCACTAGGGACAGATACCCACGACGCCTTCGACGATCACTACCAGAACGCCGCCGTTGGTGATGACCAGGGCTGTCACGCCTCCTCGACACTTGGAGGAGGCTCCACTCTGGATGAAAGGCCATCGGAGTGGGAACGGCCGTTGCCATCAGCTACATCGCCTGCGCGGACGCGGGTGGTGGTGGTGGCAGCGGCAGCACGCGACACATCCGCGCTTGGGGGCCCGAGCAGCAGGATCGCGAACCCTTCCAACGTTGGGTGCTGGAGGTATTCATTTGGCCAGTGGCGAAGTCAGACCGCCAATGAGTTTCGCCAAGCGGCCTCCGTGTTGTTTTGCTTGGCCCGCATGGTTCGCGATCGCGTGGACGAATGGCCGCCGGGTTACCTTATCCGAGGTGGTCATATGGACGGATCCACAGTGCCGCCCATGACCTATCTCACCTAAAGTTTGGCCGGACGGTGGGGACAGCTCGGAAAAGGAGGAGCGAACTCAAGTGTTACCGGCCTTCATGAACGACAACCGAGCGCCGGTGGAGCGCACCGACAACGTGTTCATAAGATTCGACACCCCCCCGCAACAGTGCGCAGCAGGCCGGTCAACTCACGATCGGCTGCGAGGGCCCGAGCTACCCCTTGCCGCGTGCGGTGGGCGCGTCGAACATCCTGCTCGCCATGTCCCTGCAGCACTGCGACATGGCAGGCCCTACGGACGCGCCACAGCTGGCACGCATGATGGGCCAGTTTCGTCGAGTCGGACATCTGATCGACGGCTCGCCCGGCAATCTCGCCTCGGCCGCGAATTCGTCCCAGCGCCCGGCGTTTCTCGCGGGCGCGCCCACGCGCGATCAGGACCAGAGTGCCTGTGGCGCTGCGGCCAGATCGAGCTCGGAGGGCATGGGCCCTGCAGCCCTGGGAGCAGCACCGAGTCCACCCCCACCGTTACCAGCCGCCAGCGCCGATGAGCAGCACCGCGAGCGGCATACCCAGTAGCAGGTTACGACTCAGGCACCGACTCCAGCGCCAACAGCTCAATCGGCGAAGCAACTCTGTCGACGACCCCGAACAGCGCGAAATTGTAGTGGAAGAGTTGTCTGGGCAACTTGCCCGACGACGACCTCCGCGAAATTTGCGCTGGCGTCGGGAAGGGCAGCGGCAAGGGAACGGGCCAGCATTGGACATGTGGTCTGGGATTTGTCCGACAAGGCAACCCATTGGGCCTTGGCGGAGCACGTCTCAAGTGCCGCGAGTACGACTCAGAGGAGCACCTCCTGCGCGTCTGTCCACGCTGGCGCTGGCAATGGCGCGCCCTGGTCCGTGGCGCCCCAGCTTCAGCAGCACCGCCACCACTTGCACTGGCATCCTCACCGCTCGCGCACCTGGGGCACCACGGAGCACCTTGGCCAGCCGCTCCAAAGGCAGGTCCAGGTGCCGATTCGTTTTGGATGATCAGGGAAACCCGCGTGATGCCCCAGTCTGCGGTTCGGGGACCCGATATCGGTGGCCCCATGCAGAGCTGCGATCTCAAGAACGTCGGCCAACCGACTCCGCCCTGGGCAGCTGCGCGGCCTGTGCAAGCGCAAGCAATGGCAGCAGCAGCCCCCGGCACTGCGCCCGGCGGCCCCTGGCAGGCAGTTGGCCAAAACCATTCGGTCAAGCTGGGTGGGCGCGCCATCGTCTTCGTCGGCTTCGCCCAACCCTCATGACTGTGATTTCCGGCGGTTGCGCCAGGAAGTGTATGGCATCATGGGCCGCGTGCACCAGGGTTCTGCTTAGCCGACGGATGGGGCAATTGTGCTGCTAGCCCGCGCGGCAGGAGTGGGGGAATAAAGCAACTGCAGCACCCGCGGCTCCAGCTGCATCGGCAGCACCGCCAGCGCTGACGACGCAGCGCTGGGAGGACTGCCTGGTCCTTTCCCGCTGGGGCCACGGCAGTGGCGCGACTGGGAAGGCGGCGTCAATGCCCGAGTCGCGGCGCCAGCTGCCCCGCCTGCCGCAGCGTTTTTGCCCAGCTGGGCATTCAAGCCATCAGTCTCAGCATTCGGCATCAGCGCGCCATGGATCGAGCTCCATGTGGCCGCCACAATCTGCGCCAGTAGCAGTGTCACCACCGACGCAGCGGAGTCTCCCGACGATCTGGCTTTCCTCAACCCTCGCGTTCCCACTGAGGTGAGCCAGCCTTCTGGGGGGGTGGCCATGCGGTTCGCTGGCCGCGACACCTGCACGCCCGGCGGCGAGCGATCCGAACGCGGAGTAGGCTCCACGCTCGACCGCGCACAACGACGACACCTCGAATGGCCCCACGGCGCCCAGCTTGCTCGTTGGCGACACATGGGGCGGGCAGCGACGACGAGCCAGAAATATACGGGCAGAAATCTTTGCGAATCCACCACCTGCACTGGTGGCCGCACCAGCTGCAACCCGCGTCGCGGTCTTCAACGGCGACGATCGGGACCGCCCCCTATGCGCCGAGACCTTCGTGCTCGGCGATGGGTGCACGCCTGCTGCGCTGTCGCATCTTGCGCCCGGCACGCCGCCTACAGCTTTTGAAGCACACCGACGGCCAACTTGTGCATTGCCCGGCATGCCGAGGCCGGGCTGGCGACATCGCCGAGTTCCGCTTCTTCGTCGGTGCAGATCGCGTCGCGGCGCGTCCAGCGCTTGCGTTGCTGGCCCGCGCGGCAAATCCAGATGCTCAGGGTCCAGCACCTGCGGTGCCAGCCTTGCCGGTGCCAGACAGCGGCGCGCCCGAGGACGCAGTCGCGCCGCGACACCGCGCGGGCCTTTCGGCCGACGAAGCCACGCGGGCGAGGCCCCTGCCCGCAGCGGAGAGGAGGACGTCTCCATTTTCGGGGGAGCGTAAGACCCGGGTTTGCCAGGACTCGGGTTCGCCATCGTTTTTTGACGACTGCGACTCGGATTTTGACGAGGATGAGTTTCGTGGGATGTCTGCAGCGGGAGGCCTCGTCAAAATGCAGGCTCGGCCTCGTCATTTTGTTTGACGACCTCGTCGGGGATTTCCGAGTCCCCCGTGCCCGGGTCTTACGTCTCCCTGACATTTTACGCAGCAGAATTGGGCAACGGCTCGCCCGTTGCCCCATGGGGGTGCGCTGCCGCATTGCGGCTGCCGCCCGCGACGGCGCGGCCGCCCGGCGCCCTTGTTGTGGAGGGCGATGGCTTCGATCTTAGGCGCGCAATCCACGCGGTCCCTCTTCGGGGCGGTGGAGACAGGCGCATCGCGCAGACGTTTCGCGCATCCCGGCCCATGAGGCAACGAGATCAACTGGGCCCCATGTGCCGCGCCATTTGGCAGTCGGGCCCAAGTGGCCACCCGGGCATGCTAGTCGACAAGTTCGACCCATTCGAACCACCGGCTGAGGGACTACCGCCCAGTCAGCTCACGCCGCCGGCAGAGGGCAGCAACCGCCAGAACGACGACATTACAGGCGCTCGCGAGTTTAGAAACCTCAAGCTGCAGCTTCTCAGCCCCAAGTGACAAGCACCCGCGCGGGGCGCGCCTCGCGTGGCAGGCTGCGACCCGTTCGCCTGCGCGGACGTCAGCGTCGCGACATGTAATTGCGAATTGGCGTCTGCGGGCGCGGCCGCTCCCGCGCAGCTGGGCACTTGCCGGCGGGTTGCCCCGGGCGCAGGACTGGCCCTCGAGGGCAACGACGTCGCGGACGGCCCCGACTAATGTGGCGAGAGCAAGGGGATGATGCACATCGCGTCGCAGTCGAGCGGAGTGGTGGACCCCGACGCCGTGGTCGAGCAGGGCCAGGGGATCTCCCCATTTGTCCGGGAGCGCATCTTCACGGACTCAGATCGCGATCCTCGCCCGCTTGCCTTTGTCCTCCCGCCGCTCCGGGGACATCGGCCACGCTGGCGCGGCGCGCCTTTGCTGCGACACCACCCAGCAAGCATCGGGCGCTGCTACACTAGCAGGGTCTAGGGGTAATTATGTTGCCGAAGACCCC